TGATCTTTTCAAATCTTTCTTCAAATTTCTAAAATTTTCAAAATTTTCCGAGATATTAAAAAAAAACTAAAGCCCCATTTTTATAACTTTTGTAATTTTCATCGGCGCGTTTTCGGACCTTTCCTTAAACTTTCCAGGCAAAAATACAAATCGAATAACACCTTGGTCGTAATTTTTGGACAGGGCTGAAAAACGTTACAAAAAAAAGTACATGTGAACTAGACTAAACCGTAACAGTACATAATAACCGTTGTAAATGTCACTGCTCTATAATTTTCATGTAGGCTGTTTCTTTCATCATGTGGTAACACGTTGGTCGTAATTTTTGGACAGGGCTGAAAAATGTCACCAAAAAGAGTTAAATCGAGTACATATGAACCAGACTAGTTTAGAATATAGCAATGTTACCACATGATGAAATAAACAGCCTGTATGAAAATTATTGAGCAGTGATATTTACAACGGTTATTATTTCGTATCGTATTCGTAAGTTCTAATTATTTTCTGTTTGATGATTATCGAAGTGGTCTATTTACACATTATGTACAAGGAAAATATTTTCTTCCATCTAGAGGCATTTTTTTAAAATCAAAGGCACAAAGAATCATGAAAATTGTATTTGAAAAAATAAGTTACTCACCGTGCCATCTTTGCAAGAATGTGTTGGGCTTCATCAAATCTTCCTTTAGCTAATAACCATCTAGGACTTTCTGGCAATAAGGGAAAATGAAGAAATAGTGTCAAGAACGGTAAAGTTGTTACTAATGCCATCCACCTCCAGTTACGAATGGCCCATACAATAATAGATAACGACACCAAAGATAAGGAATATGCGATGTTTATCAGGATTGTCACGATGGTTCTTTCCTTAGGTCCTACCAATTCAATTGCTGAAATATCAGGTACATTATCAATCTCATCAGTATGGGTACATTAGGACTGAGTCCGTTTCAACATTATTCTACAACTCAGAAGAACTATCAATGAAACACCACAATAAAAGTAGATCTGACCTTAGACTTGGTCGCTGTTATACCCACAAGAGCTATAATTAAACCGAATATAGAAAAACGGTAAGAGGTCTCTCATATTATTATATGAACGAAACAAGGTACATGAAGAGAACTGATGAAGTGACCCGTAAGGTTACCCGGTTGATTTTTTTTTTGTGGGATAATTCTGAGAATACAGTTTTAAAAACTCAAGTAAAACCTCTGGATTACTGATTTTCGCGCATCATTCCTGTATATCGAAAAATCTAACTGGAACTACCTCAGAACATCCTAAACCTCTGTGTGGAACCGAGGCAGTGAAAGCAGAAGGACAGCATGCTAAACACTTGTTTAAGTGAAAAGTTAGTGAGTAAACTCCCGAACGTTGTTTATTTCCATTAGTTTCTTTGGTAAGCTCGAAAATTCAAAGTTGAGTTCAAAATTATCCGCTTACTGAAAAAGCACCTTGTAGTTATCCAAATATCAAATAAAACCTTTTAAAATTCACCTTCTATCCTATAACGTAAGCAGTGTGTACCACGTAAGTCTATCTCACCTTTATTGAAATTATGCATAGAGAAACGTTCAGCTTTCATGGAATGAAGGTCTGGGCATTTACGACCTCTTACATCATGAGAGTAAGGCACTTCCAAATTTCATATAGTGAGACCCCCCCCACACGTAGGAATGATTGTGATAGTGAAAACTTTCAATCATCTTCTTTCTATGTGAAAGCTATTTTCCGGGTTTTTTGACAGTGGTCTGCAGGTTTTTATGCCTAACGTTTCGTCTACTATTGTGGTAGACATTAACAAAGGTCGTAGTGAGTTGTATTTTCTTTTGGAACGCGATAACTACAATACTGGTTCAAAACTCTGGTTTCATATTATTATTAGGAGGCGTGGCTTGGTTTCTCTTAATTGGATTACCTAACCTCGTTTGTATACAAGTATCTAGATTTTATTGATGATCGTTGCCTCTTCTTCTCTATTGAAAGTATCCTTTTTTTTGAATTCATTTTCCCTTTCTATATACTCTTGGATTTATCGAGTATAACTGTATCTTTGCATGGAATGATGTAAGTGCCTTTTTTGTTGAGAGCATGTTCGGCTACAACTGATTTGTAGGTTTGTCCCGAGTCAACAAATTCTTTTGTGTTACTTTATTTTGTGAAACTTTTTGGCTTTCTACTACTCCATCTTGATACAAAAAAATGTAATAATCTTTCAAAGAAAGGAAGGAAGTAATCAATGAGTACTCTATACATGGATGTGTAGATCATGCAAAGAAGTAACTTTCAGACACAAACTAGAAGAAAAAGCCCTCCTGAAACAGCTACTTTCATATAAATATTGAATTACACGAAAGAAAAATTCTTTCGAAACAAATACTTTTATATGAACACTCAATTATACAGAAGACACTATCATCCTACACTCAGTTTGTACTCCAAACATTCGTTATGAAATAATGAAATGAGATATTGTTATGAAATAAAATGAGATATCATTCACATGAGTTCTACACTATATGAATGGTAAAAAAATTGCACTTACATAGAACACTGCCATCCTGACTGGTACAGTGTTCCATGTAAGTGCAATTTTTTCACTATTCATTTGGTGAAGAACTCCTGTGAATGATATATGATTTTATTTCATAACGAATGTTTGCAATACAAACTGAGTAGAGGATAGTATCTTCTGTATAATTGGGTGTTCATATAAAAGTATTTGTTCCGAAAGAATTTTTCTTTCGTGTATTTTAATGTTTATATGAAAGTAGCTGTTTCAGAAAAAATTTTTTTCCAGTTTGTGTCTAAGTTACTTCTTTTTGCATGATCTATATATCCATATATAGAGTTACCCATTTTAAAATTGATTACTTCCTTCCTTCCTTTGGAAGATTCCCACATTTTTTTGTATCAAGATGGACTAGTAGAAAGTCAAAAACTTTGTTTTTCAAAAATCAGTCATTCCTAAAAATGTAACCCTTTTAATATAATCATAATCACTATTCAAGAGTATATAGAAAGGCAATGGAAATTCAAAAACACAGGGATAATTTCAATTGAAAAGAAGATGCGCAATGATCATCAATAAAATCTAGGTACGTGTCCTTAAAGGTACATAAACAAGGTCAGGTAATCCAATTTCAAATACCAGCATCGTAGTTACTGCGTTCGGAACAACGGGAACAAAAACTTGGGCACCGCGAACATCACCACTTCACTTTGATATTATCTACCGCAGTGGTAGACGGAACGTTATACATTGAAACCTTCTGAGCATGTTAAAAAACCCGGAAAATATCTCTGGTCGTGAAAGTTTACATTCTTTGATCATCTTCTTTCTGTTTAGATGATAAGTCACCATTTTCAATATCGTAACCATTTACCTTTGAGTTAACAAACCCAAACATACATTTTCCAAAAATTAACAGTAATGAGGAATTAAAAAAACAGCCTGTCCTGAAGCATTTCAGATGAGACGTACTGAATATGAATGAATAAATCTCAGATCCGACTCTGTTTTTCTACTTAACATTTTATACTTGTAGAATTATTATTCGGTTCAATGTTATAATTTGGTTTTCCAATAATCTGGTTTCACCTCCTGTCAACTCAGTGTCGATTAGAGTAACAAACTTGTCCTTCTCTGCATCAGAATTCTTCTACAAATAATGCTACTAACTTTTTATGGACATCTGTGTCCAGAATTCAGAATTGTATATAATAAAACTAAATGATAATGAAATATTCCATACATAAAGCATACAATTTATTAAAACGTATCAACTAGTGCAGGACATTAAAAACATGATTCTTCCTTATAACGCGAAATTCATATTGTTTGACGTACAAAACTTATTCCCAATTATTCCGCCAATTGAAACAATTGGTTGAAAGTCTCTTGAACGAAAAATATGTTACGCCTGTAGTGAAACAGGAAATTCTAAACACACTCACTATTTTTCTGTCCCAAAATTATTTGAAATTCATTGAGCGAAGGACTAATGATGGAGAACCCGTTGAGTGCTTTAGCGAAGGACTAATGATGAAGAACCCGTTGAGTGCTTTGCTAGCTGAAATTTCAATGGACAATTTCGATAATAAAACCTTGGTCTGTTTTACTGGTACAGGTAAGCCTTTGGACAACTTTTTCGAATTTGTTGATTTCATTTACCACTGAAACGAAGGAATGATAGAATGGATGATGATTCAATTAATTCTCTAGACAAAACTAGCACTGAAATTGATGACGAACATGATTTCCTAACTTCACACGAATCATCCTATATGGATATTGTCATACATAATTCCTCGATACATCCTTATCAGCATAAAGTAGTAGCATTCAATAGTATGCTTCACAGTATTCCGCTTTCAGAAAGTAATTTTCAGAAAGCACTGAACTTCATAAAAAAAATCGCTCTCAACAAAGGTAATAAGGTAGCTATTATCGACTTCATACTTTCCGAAAAACTGCGAAAGTAAATCGTTTACACGGCTTCAATAAACAATGATAAGTGTCCTAGGACCTACTTTGGTGACCACACTAATAACATCGCTCGGTTTTTGTCATGGCTTACCGGACGAATAATAATTCAAGAAAATACATTGAGAATAATAATGACAGAACTTCAGTGTCGCATATATTAGAAGTAAATACATTCAATTTTGGTTCTTCCCAAACCTTGTTGGTCAAACGGGAATAACCTTTCCCAAATAATAAAAGAATACTTTTTACCTAAACTCAGGTAATTCGTTATTGAGCAGTAATCATGAGATTCGAATTATCATTACATAAAAGACATTTGCTGAAAACAGTTTTTTATGTGCAAAAGTTTGCATTTAGTTTTTACCTAAAATTATTAGTCATCACCTGTGTAGAAGGTCATATGATTCAAATTGTTATTCTGTAAATCACAGATTCAGTACAACTTAGTCACTGTGCGGTTTTGTTGACTTGCTAATGAAAATATCATCATGAAGTGATACTTGAACGAGTTATGGATTTTCATGAAGTATGTGCCAATTACATCACAAAGGAACAAGAAATTATGTGTAAAGTTCTTCTAGTTGTTTCATTTGTTCAATAACAAATAAATCAAAAATTTCTAACATAAATTTGATAAACATTGATAATATTCATAGTCATAACACTTGACAAACATAATTATTATTAGTTAGTGATTTCAAATTCAATTCTGGAGAGAAATCAATTTATCATGATTCAATGATATTAAATATATATAATATATTACTATACATGCAGTGCATTCCGTTTGAAACGAGCTACCCTGAATAACTTTTGGTAAATTGATTTTCAGAAAAAGTGAAAAAAAAAAACGTCAACAATAGTATACAGGGGGACACATTCTGATATATTCACATTTGATGTTACTTCCCCTATCGCACCACCATAGCATGTCACCATTTTTTCAATCTATCACCCTATATTGTTTCGCATCATCAGATGCTCCATGTTGAGCAGATTTCAACAAAGTATAAAACATATGGTCTGAAGCTTATGGTTCAGGAGCTACAAATTCCTTGAGTTGAAATCGAGCCACTTTGAATAACTTTCGAAACAATGATTTGCAGGAAAAATAAAAAAAACATGTCAACAATTAACAGGAGGCCATTTTTTGAAATATTCGTTGTAGAGACGAATATGGAAGCAATAAATCAAAAAAAGAGATTCTTTATTAATTATTGAATCAAAATTGATGACTAGACAATGAGAAGAAAAAAATTTCCATAGTAAATGTTCAAAAACATTTTCACCAACTTCCATACAATGGTACAAATGAGCCTTCCTCACATAGTTGAGAATCTCGAGAGTTATTTATTTGCAATGCCTTATGATAATCTCTCAAATCTTTTGATATTGTTGATTCTATCTCATACACTTTGGACTGCGAATAAACCCATGGAAAGAAATCTACAGGAGTGAGGTCCGGATACCTGGATGGCCATTCTGTAGAACCTCTTCTGCCAGTCCAGCGATCAGGAAAGTTATCATATAAAAATTGTCGCACTGGAGGTGCATAACGAGGAGGTGCTGAAATACTATTTCGTTTTCGAATAAATTTATATCCTCCTCAATTGCTGTATTGATTCACGGTATTATTAGATTCTCCAACATATTTAAATGATGTGACCAAAAGAGGTCCTATGATGTGGTCACCTGAAATTCTGCCCAAACATTCAGTTTTTGAGGTCGTTGGATATGAACTTGACGGTATAAATGAGGATTTGTTTCACTCCAATATCGACAATTTTGCCGATTCACCTCTCCATTCAAACTAAACGTACATTCATCCGAAAAATAAATTTATACAGGAAATTCTGATGGAAGTTGATCCGTTCAGTGATCCGTTCTTACAAAACTTGATTCATCTATCGAAATCATCTTCGTTCAATTCATGAACTAGTCTAATTTTACTTAGATGAAATTTGTACTTATGAAGGATCCTGAAAATATTTGTACGACTGATTCCTGCTTCTCGAGATAACTGAGTGACATATTGCGAATTTTCCATTAGTCCAACGTGACCTAAAACTGCAATACAAATAGCTTCATCGTTGACAACTCCTGAAGGGTTATGCTTTTTATTGTTAACAGATCCAGTTTCCATTTTTTCCTGGATGATTATCATTGAATATACAGGCAGCAGCTCTAGCACTATTTCCATTCTGGTAGTACAAACTCACTATTTCAATCGGTTCTCGAAGCGTATAAACCATTGCTTCTCAAGAATTCACAAAAACAAACACCAATTGTAACTTCACCCAGTAGGTGTTATTGTGAAATGAAACAAATACAAAATGTAGAGAATATCGAATTCAAACTTAACCAGGCAAAATAAGACTTTTTCGAAGCCTATGAAACCAAGGTAATAGATTGTACAGAAGTTCATTCAGGGTGGCCGTTTTCAACTCAAATAATTTTAAGCTTTCAAACTATGAGCTTCAGACCATAATATATTCTACTTTGATGAAATCTGTTCATCATGGATCATCTTATAATGCAAAACAATTGATACATTTAAAAAAATGGTGATATGTTCCGGGGGTACGATAGGGAAAGTTAGATCAAATGTGAATATATCAAAATATGTCCCCCTGTATACTATTGTTGGGGTGTTTTTTTTATTTTTCCTGAAAATCATTGTTTCCAAAGTGCCTTTAATTAGTTCGGACTTGCATTGTCTGATATGATAAAGGAAAATTGATTTGAAATCCCTAAACGAATCTGTAAAAAATTAAAAAGCTTAGCTGAAAATCAACAATTATATTAATGGAAGAAACTGAAATAACAATGAAATAAAATACAAACAACAACCAAAAAAAATGAACTATTAACATGGGATGATAATTAAAAATTATTAACAAAAATGAAAATTAAAAATTAAAAGATTCCAAATCAAGTTACTTCATGACGTTTCGATTGTTAGTATCCACAATCGTCTTCGGGTGATAACCCAAAGACCGATTCTTTCAGTGATTTCGAATCAATTTATATCATATTAGACAATGAAAGTCCGAACTAATGAAATGCACCATGAAAAATTGTCAACCACCTTCAAACATTGTTCCAAAATTTATTCAGGGTGGCTCGTTTTCAACTCAAATAATTTGTAGCTCCCGAACTATAAGCTTCAGACCATACTTTTTATACTTTGTTAAATCATCTTGAAGCATCTGATAATGCGAAACAACGAAAACGAAAAAATGGTGACATGCTCTGTGGGTGCGATAAAGGTAGTAACATCAAATGTGAACATTTAAAAATGTTTCACCCTGTATACTATGGTTGATGTATTTTTTTATTTTTCATGCAAATCACTGTACCAAAAGTTATTCAGGGTAGCTCGTTTCAAATGGAATGCACTGTATAATACAATTCCTGAAGAATTAAAAAACATCAAAACTGCTCTCAAATTCAAAAATCAATTGAAAAAGTTTTCAATAAATTGTATCAAAAATATAATAATAATAATAATATAAATAATTTGGCCTCAAATTAAGGGTTACGTAGCTCGTGAAAACGTGACATAAAATTTCTGATGTCCAACGTTCATTAGAACTCGCAATGTAACGGATACGGAAAGAAGATTGGGCTAATGCTGTAGCCCATGTGATCAAGGAAAAAGAGAAAATGTGAAGATTGGACGGGATGGTAGACACTGTTTTCAACCAAATAATAATAGATTTAAGTGTGACTGGGGATTCCTCTTCGGACGAGTCAATGGATTCTGAAACTTCGTGAGCATAACATAGGTAATTATTTCTTTGCTTTTTAGTTCTCTTTGTATATAAAAGGAACATAATAATTATTTCCTGAACTTTCAGTTTTTTGGAGTACTGTATTAGGCATAATAAGAAAATGTAGTCAGTTTTACTATTGACACGGTAGCGCCACCAACGACCGTATAATTCATGACTGTTTTTCCGCCGAAGTTAACAATACTATTTGCCATAAAAATAGCAAACTTCCCAAAACACCAGAGATTGATAGAAATGTAATTAGGTCATATGTGGAGTCATTTCAACCTGCAGTCTCTCATTACCGCAGAGAACATGACCCAAACAAAAGATATATCCCAAGTGGCATAACTATAAACATGATGTATTCTGATTTTGAACAGAAACACACAATAACTTTCATATCTTTAGTAAAAGGCGGAAGATTTATTCTCACTGAAGAGAAACCAGAGTTATATGAAGTTTACCGTAGTGTGTATACGAAAGAAATGTATATTTCATTTACCAAACTCGGACACGAACAATGCGAAATCTGTGAATGTTTTTTACTCCACAATCCAGAACCAATACCAAATACCAAAGATAATCCATGTGTTGAGTATCCTACGTGTGTTTCATGAAGGACTCTTATAAATAAAGCAGATGAAGGTCGTAAAGCTTACATACATGATGCAGAAGTTCCGGATAAAAATTGCAGCATATTTCTCTGGAGACTTGCAAAAAGTAATCATGCTTCCGAGATTGGACATATTTAAAAAAGCTATATTTTGTCCAAGAATGGATCAGAATTTTTATATGCTACTAATGAAGTTACGTAAGCTTGTCATTTTCTAGTCATATCTAGAAGTGTATGTTTGTATATTTATATTTGAAAAATGAATAATGAAAGTAACAATTAGTCATTCATTATCAAAAAACAAAATGAAGTTATGTAATGTATGACATTTTCTATTCATATCTAAAAGTGTATATTTATATTTGAAAAATAAATAATGAAAGTATCAATTAGTCATTTATTTTCAAAAAAACAAAAATTAGTTATATAGACTGTCACTTTCCAGTCATATCTAGAAGTATTCACTCATATTCAAATATAAATATTCATTTATATTTGAAAAATATATAATAAAAATAACAATCAGTCAGTTATCAAAAAAGCAAAATAAAGTTATGTAATGCATGTGATTTCCTAGTCATATCTAAAGATGTCTCTGTATATTTAAAAAATGAACAGTTAGTCGTTTTTTATCAATCTCTGAAAAAATATATGAAGTATTGATCAATGTGTGTTATTAATTGGCATCAATGGCAAAGTTTAAAAAATTCCCATATTCTATATTGAGATTGTGGACTCAGATGAAGTCAAATCAATGGCTATTTTTCAAAGGTGATATGACGTGTTCATAACACAATGTCGTTAAAATCTCTTGAAGCTAATATGACTTATTATATATAGCTCAAGGTCGTGTGATGTCATTCAATGTCATCATTGGCAAATTTAAGAAAATTTCCACATCCTATATTGAGATTGTCGACTCACAGGAAGTTAAATCAATAGACTTCCTAAGTCCTGACGTCACAAGTAGGCGGAGATTAGCGAACTTTTCCAAACAAATCGATTTTACATGTTAAAACACCCATAAGAGATTATTTATGTTTATAGCAGTGTTACGTTGGCTACTCTTATAACATTAATTGAACCACAGCAATACATTCCTTCAATATAATACTAATAACTGTTGGACAGTCAGTCAGATCAGATATGGAAAAACGTTTTCGGGTGCTCTGCCCATCCAGTGAGACATTACTATAGACTAACAAACATTAACTATATAGACTAGCACTATCATTTGAAATTATAGTGAACGTGATTTAGTGAACTATATGTTTCTTACCTAACACATATGGTGTTCCAAGTATAGCTGGTATGGTGAAACCAACGCCAATTCTGAAAACTGTCCATGTGATATAATTTCCTGCGAATGACGTAGCAATACCGAAAACACATTGAATAAATAGGAAAATGAAGTAGGCTGGTTTTCGACCCATTCCATCTTGAATATATCCGAAAATGTAATTTCCAATCAATCCACTGGCTCCAAAAAGTACCAGAGCTAAAGTCACTAAAAAATCTTTATCGCAGACCAGATCCCACTGAAAAAAATCTCTGCTCATTCCATCAAATTATTAAATTTATGTTAATGGAAAACTCGGAATTATTTTATCAGTAATTAACTAGTTGGAAACTGCTTAATGAATGCACAGAAATTAAAATATATTTTTTTCATTACTTACGGAAAGTATTATTGTTGATGATGATGAATGAGAAACATGAAAATGATCATATCTGCACTCCTTAACACCTATTAATGAAAGGGTAATATTTTTCGGGAAGTTCAGAATCTTGAATGATTTGACGAACTCATCACCTAGTATTTTTTTTGGAGTCAAAATAAGAATGCTCAATTCGAAAGAGAACAATTTTTGGGAAAAAGTGGTTTTGGCTTTCTACTTCTATAAAATATATCTCTTTAAAAAAACTGGGAATCGTCTAAAGGAAGGAAAAAACAATGAATTTCAAATTAAACTCTTCAAAAAGATATGTAGATCGTGTAAAAAGTGACTCTTAGAAACAATTTGAAAGATAAAACACTCTCAAAACAACATATGAACATTGAACATTGAATTATAGAAAAACACTTTTCCTTATTCAGTTTGTACTCCGAATATATGTCACGGAATTGAATTAGATATCATTCACAGAATTGTTACACTATGTAGTATATGAAAGAGGTACAATTTCACTTACATGCTGAACACTATCATTCCCAATGGCGGAGATAATAATTATTGGGAAAGGTTTTGGTTGACACCTCTTTATCATTCATACAACTCACTATCTTACAGCCACCTTCTATGAGTTTTCTACATGAATGATAGGGCGACATAAACTATAATCGACTTCCAACTTTATTTTTCTAAAGGGAAAACACTGGTGTTGCGATCAACATTTTGAATTAGCAGTAATTACCAAATTGCCACTCTGGCTCCCCCACAAAAGCTGTTTCGACATGAGAGAACCGAGATTTCGGCATTCTTTTCTTAGAAAGATGTTTGAAAAATTATTTTCATTTCGAAAGTTATTTGAGATATTCAAATTATATTTTTTGAATGAATGTATTTATACCGATCCCTATTACTTTTGTTCCAGTGAAACTGTTAGTTCAATATAATAGACAAATGATATTGAATATGATACTTCATATGCTATAATTGTTGATTACAATTTATGTTTGATTTGGGTGTTTGGGAAATATTCCTTAATATTTGTATCTACTTTGAAACTACAGTGAATGTAATAAATAGCAAATTTTCTACAGAAAATTCAAATACATACTTGGGAAACAACTGAATTTGAAATATCGCCGTCATAAACCCATCCATTCTGACAAGGAACTATTTTGGAATCGTTGTTATATATGGAGCACTGGCTCAATCCTGTTTGTCCATCCGCATATAATTCCAAAGGTATACTGAAATTCAATAATTCACAATTTCATAAGTAGAAATAAAGAATGAAAATTTTTAATGTCACCTTTCACTTGAAAAAATGATATATTGTAATGAAAACCATCATACAAATATATAAAAAGGAAAACTTACACTTCACCCAGATAAGTTACTGAACTTCCAGCAGGGTGAAATTTTATCAATCACGTTTTGTTCACGGTAAATCTAACGAACTGAACGAGCAACTGGCTGCAATTGGAATTGGCCGCCGTGGTAGTGCGCCCGACTCACGATCGGAAGGCCGTGGGTTCGATTCCCGCCTCGACCAGATATTTTTCTCGAGAGAATTTATCTGGTTGAAGTAGGAATCACACGTCTTAGGAATCACACGTTTAAAGGTGAGACTTCGTTAGTCCTAAGCTCGCACAAGTTTCTCAATTTCTGAGAGTTGTCGTTCGTATGGGGGCGACAGCTGATTAACGAAAAAAAACCAGATTTTTTTCAAACAGAAGCGAATCTTCACTGGCAAGTTAAACAACGTAGCGTGCGTGGTGTCTCATCGACTGATAATGTGTCTAGCATATACCGTACAATAATTGCAGTTTGGATTATATTGAAACGATTTCACTCATCTACCACAAAAGTGATATAAGAATAAATAAAAATGCCTTTTCACTAACGCAACATAATCTTGAAACAGGACACAAAATCAAATTAAATGAAACGAAAGTTTTACATTACGAAAAAAAAGTCCAAAAGACTTTTCTTCGAAATAAGGAAATCAACTGTAACCTGAATTATATGGACATAAAAAATAATATTGAACATTCAAGGAACATTTATAGTTTCCTCTTGGAGAAATATCAATTTCGATATTGAATATTGAGTGAGATAAAATCATATAACCAATCGAAAGGGTGTTTGTACACCCTTTCATTTGTACTTACAAATTTCTAATTACTTTGACATTCTTCGCGAAATTTCAATCTTCTCTTCCTGTAGAAAAAAAAATATATCCAATAATGCTTATATTCAGATACTTGAAAATATTCAGTATCATTCATTGTCAAATTATAATAATTATCGTCCAACATAATTTAAAATTTTGAAAAAGAAAAGCATATCAAGAAGAAAAGTAATTGGAAATTTATCAACACAACATATATACACAAAATAAATATACGGCTCCTAATTCAACAAAATCAAACGTTGTCAACGATAAACCGTGCAATTTGCATTATACTGCAACAACTTCCAGAATTTCATCAAGTAAAATTGCCTTCCACAAAAGTAATAACATGAAAATTTCTGTGCTCTAAGGTAACATTCTCTTGAAAGAGAACAAAATTTCAATTTTAATGAAAGTGTTCCATAAAAATAAAATTTTACCTTTTTCATTAATTATAGGTATTGTGTAGCAATCCTTTGAATGATATCTGTTTCGATTCCATAACGAATGTTTGGTACAAACTGAATATTGTTGTTTTCTGTATAAATTAGTGTTCATATAAAAGTATCTATAGTTGTTTCGAAAGTATTTTTCTTTCGTATGATTCAATGTTCATATAAAAGTAGCTGTTTCGAAAGGGCCCTTTCTTTCAATTTGTGTCTGAAAGTTACTTCTTTGCATGATCTACACTCAATTTGTAAAGAGATAATTTTTTGAAACTGATTGCGTTTTTCTTTTCTTTGGAAAATTCCCACATTTTTTGTATAAGGATGGAGAAGTAAAAAAACAAAACCTTGCGTTTCCAAAAATTATTCTATCTTGAAAATATACCCTCTTCAATTGAAAACAAAAAAGTTTTACATTCAGAAAGAGACATATTCGAAAGGCTTGAAATAGTAGAAATCAATAGTAACTTGAATTATATGAATCAAAAAGCATATATTGAACATAAGTAACATTCATAATTATCTATTGGGAAAAAAAACAATTTCATTGATCAATATAAAATAAAACAATATGGAGAGATAAAGATTTTGTATCATATGATTTGACAGACATTTTTCAAGTATGCAGGCATCGCATGTTGAAAGGTAAGACCGCGTTAAGCTGTAGCTCGCTATAGTTTCGACTTTTGAGGGTTTTCCTTCGTAGAGGAGCGACAGCTGGCGAACGGAAAACATATTTCAATAGATTTTTTTGAAAGCGTCGTTAACTTTCACTTACAATTTTCCAGTGGTAGATATTATGGATTCCCATCCAGCGGTTTTGACAGTTAAATCAGTTGAATCGCCAGGAAATCAGTTAACTGATTTAAGAAAAATAACTGGAGGATATTTGCGAATGTGCAAGTGAAATCATCAACAAAGAAGTAGGCAGTACATCTTTCAAATGAAAATCATCAACAAACGACATTCAGTATAGTGATACCTACCTATGATATTAGGTTGTTTCAGAAGTTTTGTCTGTTACAATTTCATGTGTTTTTGTAGCACCATATCTCAATAAATATTCATTCTACTGTGTCGTAGTATATACTGATCGATAGAGAATTTTGTACTCTGCTAGAACTATGTTGCTGTATCGCTGCTGTTCCAATGTTTTGACAGATTCAGAATCAACGAACTTAGGCGTGCGCAGCGTTATAGAACAGTGCTTTCAAAAATTGTTTTACAGCGCCATCTAGTGGCAAGTTACAGATGAATTGATAGCCTAAAAACCTTCTCTATGAAAAATTACTCATACATGTCGAGTTTCATCACGATCGGTTGAGCGATGTAGAAATTTATCACTTACCAACCAACCAACCCACCAACCAACCCACCAACCAACCAAGCAACCAACAAACATCCATTTTTATATATTAGATAAATATATTAGTTTTTCCACAGTCAGATTTTGTTGTCTTTTTCAGCTCATTACTATATGATGTTGTTGAGCAATTTTCGGACAATTTTTATCTACGAATTTAAATTGAACCAATGCGCTGCCGAAACAGACCGAAAAACCAAACCAGGAATTTGGAATGATAGTGTCAATATACGCACCATTCGATGTTGGTTCGACGATCGACGGTGGCGAAATTTCGTTTCGGAGAACTAAGCCTCGAAGATGTGCCTTGAAGTGGTCGACGTACAGTAATCCAGGATGAGGATTCGAGGACCCTGGTGGATAGTGACCCATCATGAACGGTGCATGGGATGGTGGAAAACTGGGCGTTAGCTCCCATGTGGTATTTGATGGTTTAAAACGTCTTGAAAGGGTCAAACAGCTAGAAAAGTGGGTGCCCTACGATTTGATCGACGGAAAGGAATCGTTCGAGACAGTGATCGGGAACCGACGAGCCACACAGGGACTTCCCAAAGGCGAAAACCCACCAAAAAAGACCATGGTAGCTGTATGGTGGTCAGCGGCTGGTGTACTTCACTATAACTTTCTGCAACAGGCTAAACTATTACAGCAGAGTTCTATTGTGAGAAAACAGACGAAATGTACCGAAAATTGTGTCAGCAGTAGCCGGCACTGGTCATCAGCAGCCGGCACTGGTAATCAGAAGTGACCCGGTTCTGCTCCACGATAACGCCCGTCCGAAGTTCCATAAATCACCGTCCAATAGAATCAAACCAATTCAGCGTCAAAGTTCTGCCCCACCCATCATACTTCTCAAACTTCTCCCCAACCGACTATCATTTTTCCAAACACTTCGATAACTTTCTCACCTGTAGAACCTTCACCAATTAGGATCAGGCAAAAACGGCCTTCTTTGACTTCATCGAACCCCGAGGACACCATTTTTATGCTGACGAACTTGATAGACGTGTGTTACGTTGGCAAAAATACACAAAAATTCAAAAAAACAGACAAAACTTTCGAAACAACCTAATAAATATATGTTCGTAGTAGTAATTAGTAATTACGTATATACGTATTTTTTTTCTGATTGATTCGGCTGTTAGTTGATGAAGATTCATAGTAATTTCATAAACGGCACCTTATGATTTGATCTCCACAAACTTTATTTGAGAAATATATCACGACATGTTTCGCTAACACAGTAGCTTCTTCAACAGTGATTTGATCTCCACAAAGTTAAATCTTTATATGCGAATTTATATTACGACATGTTTCGCTATCACGGTATCTTCTTTGTAATGAATGACATACTGTATGTACTTATGTTCAAATAAAATTATTGTTTTTTGTACAGTCTGTTAGTAACTTGGATAATTGTTTTTCAAATTTTGAACATCATTTTGAGAATTTTCCAAAGGGCAGATATTGTGGATTAATAAACTCATACCTTCCGAATTATTCGGTTCCTGAGATGTTAGGTCTTCAGTGCTGAGGTGGCGCATCAACCTAAATTCTTAGATGTAAAAACAAAAATTTTGTTGTGAACCAAAAAGTGTTCAGTGGGCACTCGCCTCCACAAAAAACTTTCATAGATGTCAATTAACAACATTGAAATATCCATTTTCAAACTCATTTTTCTCCCAAAGGATGAACCTAATGAAATATTCAGTTCCTTTTTTCTTGATGAGAATTATTTCATTTCATGTAGTAACTAGCGGAAGGAACAAGTTTGACGTTCCAAACCTGGTATTAAATTTTTCATTAAAGTTTTTGATTTTTTCTAGAATAATATTTCAATACTACAGAATTCAGAAAAATCGTATTCATTGACAAATGAAAGAAATTTGTTATCTCCATTTCAGAATCCTCGACAATAAAAAAATATAATGGCTACTAGTTATGTAATTTCTCGAATTCATTTAATGAACAGTACTTCATACTCGTATGCTGTATTCTGTTTTCTTCACTTGTTAATCCAATATTTTTTTTATGATATGGGTCCCATCCGCACTTATGCAAATACATACATATATACAAGTTTTTGTGTATTTTCACTGTTTTAACATTTTAATGAAAACCCACCTTAAGTTTTTCATGTCTACAATCTGGGCTGTTCTACACCGATGATCTGGTATTGAGGCCATGAAAAGCTGATTGTATGCATGAAATCCGCATGGAAAAACTGCGGGTAGTAAAATAAACCATACTACCAGTTTCTGGTATTTTCCAAACTCTCCTACGTTTCGCAAAATTTCGTCAAAATCCATTGGAAAATGGGAACAACTACTACCACATTCGATCTAAATCATGTCACTACTGGAGTCTGAATCTCGGTAATTCAATCAAGTAAATTTGTCTAATTATAATCAACCAAATATGAGGAAGTGAGTTGTTTCGTTCAGAGTGATTTTAATTAATTACACGAAGAAACTGATTAACAGACAGTGTAGTAATTTGTCATAATATGTTTACATGGTTGAATTGAAAGTTTCAGGAGGGATAACTATTAGGGAAAGAAAGGTTTTGGCTTTCTACTTCTCCATCTGAATACAAATCTATTCCCTTCTGAAAATAAACCCCTTTCAATTCAAACAGGATTCCTATAGCTGGAATTAAATCAAATGAGCGAATGAATGTCATTACGTACTGTCATCGCGACATGAGTAGATTTAACACAGAAGTGAAATGAAGTGAAAATGTTATGAATGAATTGAGTGAATCATATCATATTATTCAGTTTGGTGCTGAAGAAGTAATGAGACAAGTGTCTCGTTTCGAAAAATCAATGTGCGTAATTGAGGATGACACTATTCTATGTAAATGAAATTTCACCTCTTTCACATTCTATATTGTGATTTGATTCAATTTCATAACGAATATTTCAGGTACAAATTGAATAGGAACAATATATTTTTGTAGAATCTGATGTTCATACAGACGAAGTTGTTTCGAAAGTATTTTTTCGATACTGCCATATACCTGCCATATATATATATTGTTGATTCTATCTCATACACTTTAGACTTCAAATGACCCCATAGAAAGAAGTCTACAGCAATGAGATTCGGAGACTTGGTGGCCATTCTGTAGGACTTCTTCTGCCGATCTAGCGACCAGGAAAATGATCATCCAGAAATTGTCGCACTGGAGCTGCATAATGAGGGGAGGTGCACCATCTTGCTGAAAAACTATTTCGTTTTTGAATAAATTTATATCCTCCTCAATTGCCCTATTGATGCCTGCCCAAACATTCAGTTTTTGAGGCCGTTGGGTATGAATTTGATGGTATAAATGAGGATTCGTATCACTCCAATATCGACAATTTTGCCGAAAATTCCACAAAACTCGATACGTTTATCGAAATCATCTTCTTTCAATTCATGAACTAGTCTAGCCTTATATGCATGAAATTTGTATTTATGAAGGATTCTGAAAACATTTGTACGACTAATTTCTGATTCTCGAGATAACTTAGTAAGAGATTGCGAATTTTCCATCAGTCCACAGTGCCGTAAAACTGTAGTACAAATAGCTTCATCGTTGACAACTTCTGAACGGTTATGCTTTTTGTGGTTAACAGATCCAGTTTCCATGAATTTCTTCAATAATTCCGAAAAGTATTTGTGTCGTACATTTCTTCCTGAACATACGGGCAGCAGCTCTACCACTATTTCCATTCTGGTAGTACAAACTCACTATTTCAATCCGTTCTCGAAGCGTATAAACCATTGCTTCTCAAGAATTCACAAAAACAGAAACACCAATTGTAACTTCGCATGGTAGGTAATCGTTAT